AAGAAAGAAAGAAAGAAAGAAAGAAAGAAAGAAAGAAAGAAAGAAAGAAAGAAAGAAAGAAAGAAAGAGAGAGAGAGGGAGGGAGGGAGGGAGGGAGAATCTGGAACTATAGTAGGGGTATATGCAGTGATGGTCACCAACTTCAAAATGGTGGGTGTGATCAGACAATTCCAGCCTCACCCCTTTTTACTATGCATCACCTGCACGGTAAAAACAGGCAGTATTTTGCTCACCCAGTTGTGCCTTGTCATTTTGAAGCCAGTGACAATAGCTGTGGATGCCCGTTTCACAGAGATCTCAAACGAGCAGGGCACACATGCAGCTATAAGAATATTTCTGAGCTAGAATAGTTCTGCAAGGAAGAGTGAGGAAAAGATTCCAAAAGCAAGAATAGAAAGACTCTTAAGGTATAGGAAATGCTTGACAGCTATTATTTCTGCCAAAGGAGGTATTACAAAATACTCATTTAAAGAATGTCCAAGCTTTTGTATCTGCCATATTTACTCTTTTCTTATTTTGACTCTTAAACAGCTGCATTTTGTTTATATTCCAGCATGTGTTCACCCCTTAATTTAGTTTTAGTTTTAGTTTTATTATTATGGTTATTTTTACTTTTTTAAAAACAATAGTTTATTTTTGTATTTTGGCTTTTACTTCATTTGCTTTGACCTTTGCATAAAATCCCTGGGTAAGTAATTGCAGATCCCACTTTATGCAAAGGTCATAATGATCAGGGTACACAATATTGCAGAAGCTGATATGAAAGCTGGTGATCCTCAAAAGAAACCCACCAATTATTTCTTCTCAAAAGTACTAATGGAAATGCCTAAACTCTTAAAAAAACAACAAACAAAGACAAGGCCTCTCTCAGGTTCAGTGCTCCAAGTTAAAAAAAAAAAAAAAAGTCAAGTAAATCTGCAACTGCTTTCTTTCCATCTCATTCCCCAGATATATTGGGACAAGGCTCCACAAATTCCCAGCTAATATCCACAAGGCAAAAAGTTGGGTAAGGCTAACCTACAACCATTCACAGATTTTTATGCAAAGCATACAAGAGCAAGTTGTACTTATATTTTGCAGTGTAATATTTGGCACGATGAGAATGGGAAAAGCATTGCAAGACAGAAACAAAACTGTGGGGAGAGAGGACAATACACTTGAAGTACTATTCAAAGAAGTAGGCAGTTTTGACTATTTAAATCATCTCCCTCTTTTGCCTACCACACAAATAACTCTTTATGGAGATGGGTTAAGGGGCTGCTTTTGATATTTCCTTGGCTATGGAGAACCTTAGCAAGTTTTTGTCAGGATATCCTCCCTACTAAGTGTTGCCTAAGCAATCGGCTTCAGCCCTTTGTATATTCAGCACAGTCTTTCGCTCCAAAAAGAATTCAATAGTGTAAATAAACTCCAGATGCAGAACACCCCACTCAGAACATATCAAGCCTCATATGACAGGATGGAATCCATCATGTGCCAGTCATGTGGCTGAACCATGGGAAAAGTTTAACTCTTCACTATCTGATGCAGGCAGGCGATTCAGCTGCAAAGGCCTGGCTGAGAACAATGTTGACTGTTCACCAAAAAAGCAAGGGAGTCAAAAGCATCTCTCTCAAATATTTCAACTTTACCATCAAAGTAAAACAGCAGTCCCCAAAAATATCAAAGCAATCACAGGGGGTAAAGACCAGCACCCTAGTCAGGGTTGAGCTGGTTTAGAATGTTAAAATGGATATTTTTCCCACTAATAATGACTGTGGAGAATAGGGGCAGTAGGCAAGCAACATAAAATCATAATAATAGAACACTTTTAAGAGCTATCTGATTAAACTTAACAGAATATAACCAGACTTTTAAAAAGTCTGATAACAGTTACATTGAAAAGTAGTGTACATTTATAATCTACTGAAATACTAAAATAAACAGATGCTACAATAAACCATGCTGTCCAGCTATAAACTTCACTGGGAACTTTGCATAATTGCCTAACATTTGGCACAGAAATCATGATGCAATCAGAGAAGCTGATCTTGTGTAAGCTGTATATCATCTTTATTCAATATAGTTAACCTTTACATTTAAACTGAGGACTGTGGAGAAGGAAGAATTTCATATTTTGTTTTATTCTCCATTCTGAAATGCATACAATTTGTTTCCTGAATAAGAAAGATGTTCATCTTTTTTCCTAAGAAATAAAAGTATTATCAGATTATCTCTGCATTGCAAAGCTTTGTAACTTGCCTCTGCATGCTACATCAAATGTTTTAATACTACAGTGAAATTGGCATTTATAGCTAACCATGGAGGGCAATTTCCAAGAGGGTTTATATATCAAACTAAACTCCAGCTGAAGTATATGCCCCACCCCCCAAATTAGAAAGACATGGCTGCAGGTTAATGTTTTCCCAATCAGGTACCCCTCAAATTTGTTGGGCTACAATGTAATGCTGCCTGGAGGATTATGGGAGTTATAGTTATGGGGGATTATGGGGAACTTGTATAATGGAAGGCATTAGACTAAGGAGAGCTAAGATAAGCCATGGTGTGGGTGCAGCTCTTCACACGGCTGCTGTGATTTAGTTCAGGCTATCAACGTTTCTTGAAAAAAAAGTTTTTTTCAAATGCTGCAATTGTGCAAGCAGTTAGAACCCCCCCACAGTCACATAACCATGACTGTGGCCACCTTCAGGAGGGGTGTCTACAGATGAGTCAGACCTAAACTCTTTTGTTGGGCAATCTCTGCAAACCTTGAAGTTTTAAGTTACAGCCTCTTCATTAAACAAACTGCAACAAAGCAAGTGGAACAAAACTAAAGCTATTTTCACAGTACAAAAATATGGGGGAGGCCTGGAATTACAGCACAGCAGAGCTTCTGTTGGGACACGCTCAGAGTCCATGGAAGGGCAGAATTGTTTCCATGACAAGCATGCATGATGCAGCCAGCTTCTCTACAGGAGCCAGACTGTTTCTTCCCTATGAACTGGGGTACTCTTCTTTACTCTTCCCTTTTTTGTCCCTTCGCACTACACAACACAGAAAATGATGAAGAAGAAAGCAAGCCGATTGCTTCAACGATGCGTCTTCTATAGATGGATGGTGGAAGTTTTCATCCAGCATTTGAAAAGAAACTGATTGAACTGTATCATACCAGAGGCCAAAATCAAACAACATTTATCTGGACTATACTGGAAAAAATGGAGTATAAATCAGAGAAATAACTAAAACAGGACAAGAAAAAAAAATGAACCTGGTTATGGTAATTAGATGTACTCTTTTTAAAACAGCCATGAGTCTGCTTAGTCTTATATTAATTTGCATACTGTAACTTATTAGTCTATTTTTTTCTTTTACCAGAAGAGAATCTTGTGGTGTTTGAGAGTGATTTACAGCATAACAGGCATGAGAAGACTCAGGTGTGCTGAATCTTCTATGTAAGTTCCTAGAACAAAGACATCTATAATTCAAACCAGTTCAAATACTGGTTTGAACTGTGGGGCAATGGGGGAGGAGCCAATCAGCTATTGTTTCCTGTGAGCCATACGATGGGTAAGTCCAAATCTAACTAGAACGAATACCAAGCAACAATTCTAAACTGTTTTATTTAAGTGAGAAAAACAGCGGTGCTGTTATCACTAAACAAGTTGGAGACAAAGCCTTACCAATCTACTGCAGATCATCCAGTCCCAAATAGATTTTCAATCTAGCTTTTGCCTACTCCAACTGAACACAATGCCACCAGCCTCCTGCATCATGGAGGTAAGCAGCTGTCGGTCGCAGACTCTGGCTTCAAGTTCAGCGTGTCCCAGATCACTATCGTGGTTTCTTCCTCCCGAGTATCAACACTCCTATCTCAGCGGCAAGGAAGCACCCCATGCAAAGCAAGAAAAGACAGGGACACAGTGTTCAGCAGGCCTCCCACATGTGCACCAGTTGGGCCTGTTCTGAAGAAAATTCAGCCTGCCAGGAAAACACACCCTTCTCTCACATCGATCTGAAGATCCTTGAGTAACTGGTAATATCATCTCAGGGTAGGAATGATGCGGATGCCCTTTGTGACAACAGCCAGCAAACAGCACCAATTTCCCCTGAGGCAAGTTTGAAGCAGAGGAAGGGTCTGCTTTTAGACTTGTTGCTTCCAGGAAGGCGCATTCTTCTGCTTCAAGTTCTGAGCCTGGAATTCCTTAAATAAAACAGAGATGCGGAAACAAGTCCTTTTGGCAGGCAAACATACTGCCAGATGGAGTGGGAGGAGATGGAACATTTTTGCACAAGTCCTAGCCCTTTGCCAGCCAGCCAGAAAGATTTAGAATCTTAAACCTCTAATATCTCTACCAGCAAGCGCTAAACATCAAAGGCTGCTCCTTACGTTTCCTAACACTTAGTGTAATATTTTGTGTCCCTCAAAGTGGACGTCCCCTCAAGGAAAAGACACTGCCTGCCTTTCCAGCCTAAAAGCCTGAGTCAGTAAGAAAGGCAACCTTCACTCCCCTAGTAAAACAAAAATAAGGCACGTGCCCCAGTTGGTATGCATGAAATGTAAAGATCAGTTGAAAGGTGCCACATTCTCCATGCACGGCTTTGCCAAAACAAGAGAGAGAGATGATTGTTTAACATGGTTATCTCTTAATTGTGATGCTTCTCACTCTCCTGAGAGGAAAGAAATTTCAGGGCAGCTCTGTGGAATCCATTCTATGTGTGAAGATGATACTGGAGACTTGTGATATTTCTGTTAGAAATATACAGCTGAGCAAATGGGAAACAAGCAGGCATGTAAGTGCCACTAAAGTTCAAAGCAGCAGCAATCCAGCACTCCAAGAACCTAAAATTTGGCTTCTGCCAGCCAGAATAGTTACAGTAACCACCCTTAATTTCACACCTCTTCATGGTAGTAACATGGGAAATATTAGCCAAAGACCATGTCAGCTTGCCTCTTCTCCTTTGATTCTGAATAAGCGCAAACAGTTTAACTGGCCAGTGGTCATTCTAAAAAAGAAAGGTGTTACAGTAGATGTCACCTCCAGGAAGGCCATATCCTCTAGGAAACCTTCTGCATAATCTCACACGTGAAGTGGTGAATAATGGCTGTTCAACGGTGAGGAAAACTGCATTTTCTACATCCTCAGAAGAACCAACCAAGTTCATTATAATTCCACATTTGTCCAGGGTCAGCATGGAATGTTTCTTGGGTTAAATCCTCACTGAGGATTTGCCAAATTATCCTAGGATATGGTTTTGTATCATTGTTTACCCCAATCTGGTGTCCTCCAGATGTATAAAGCCTCAGTACCCAGTGGCCAGGCTGGCTAGCAAAACTGGGAACTGAAGTCCAACACATCTGGATAGTATCAGTTTGAGGAACACTGCTTAAACATTTAACTTGAACTGAAAGCCTTGGAATTTGAACTCAGAGCTTCATGCCTGCCAGCTGAAAATCTAGAGAAATATTCCTTGCTGCCTTCTTTATTACAACCATTACAGTATTGCAGAATTGTTAACAGCCCCTCCTATTCTACACCACAAAGTTAGATGTCAAAGAGCCTCTTACATTTCTGCATGTACATTTCCTACACTGGAACATTTTTATGTTGCATTGAAAGTGGCTCCTGAGGGTCCCTTAAGACATTCTGACCCTTTTCTAATGTTGTATGTTATTTACTTATTGTATATATAGCATCATCAATGCAAATGGAATTCCATCAAGTAATAGGAGACAGTCTCCCTGCACAAAGGAGCTTACAATCTAAAATTCAACAGGTCCTCAACAATGAAAGGGGAGAGACATGGAAGCAGCAAGAGGCAGAGGGAAAATAGATGGTGTTGCCAGATGAATAACTCCTACTGTTATTAATTAAAAGACTTTGTACAGCTATTCCATTTTTTCCCCCTTCATGAACTTTTAGAGGAATGAAAAGGGATAAAAGCAGCAGTAGGGGAAAAGAGTTACAAATGAGAAGCAATGTCATCAGGAGCCTTTTAAATGTTTACAAATGAAGAAGGACAACAGTGGAGTCCTTGGTGCTCTCTGAGCTTGGTTGTTTGCTTACAGATGTTTCATTACCCAACTAGGGAGCACCAGCTAGAGCACAACACCCAACTAGAGAGCATTACCCAACTCCAAGAGCACCAAGGACTCCACAATTCAACCCTGAGCTACCTATATTCCCTTCTACAAGGACAACAGTACAAGAAAAGCTCTGATCTGGAAGCACCCTTGATTATAGACTATAATTCTAAGATATGAAAATGAGGAAACTGAACTAGATATGGTCGGTTTCCATATGACATACCGTATTTCAGCTGGGAAATTGAGGATCTTTAGCCTTTCAGATATCGCTAAACTGCAGTTCCCAGCATCCTTTACTATTGCCTTTGCTGACCAAGGTTGTTGGGAATTATATTTCAGCAAGATGTAGAAGACCATACATTCTACAACCTTGTCTGGGCTGTTGATAAGCTTTCTTCACTTTCTCTGAATTCTCCATAGTTTATACTAAAAGTTGTATAAATGCAATATAGGTAGCCCTCAACTTATGACCACAATTGGGACCGGAATTTATGTCGCTAAGCGATGTGGTCATAAAGCAAGACATCATGTGACCACATTGCTTCGTGACCGCTATCCCAACAGTCCCGTTGTTGTCGTTAACCAAGAATCATGTGTCATTAAGTAAGGACCCACCTATCAGGGCCAGCCCAAGAACAACAGTGAAACAGTCCAGTTGTGTTAAGTTCCTTTATTTTCTTACTCCTATAGACAGAATCTTGCCAGACTAAATCTATACTATTGCAACAAGTAAATATACCCTGGGAGATCCTAGGGAATGGCTATCCTAACTTCTTTCGCTCCTCCTGCAGACTGTGTTGTCTTTTGTCTCCCTGCCCTTCCTGGAATGCACCCCCTCCTTCTTGATAGCCTTGATCTCTGCTTCTATCCCCCACATCACCCTCCTCTTTGTAGATACATTCCATCACATCACCCCAATCCAAGCTATTCCGGGCTTGGTCCCTCCCAGCCCCAAACCTCAGTAAGGTAAGGGACTGTCTCCAATTCCCCCCACCCCACCTATCTCCCTCCCATCTCTGTCCTTTT